ATACCAGTGGTGATCTCAACGTCACGAAGCTTGGCCGCCCTCATGGCGCACCTCTGCTGCATGTCATCAACCTCCGGGTGGTCTTGGAGACGAGAACTCATCCGTCGCCCCGCCGAGACCGGGTCAGGGATCCCACCAAAAGCAACGACCTCCTCCCGAGTAAAACCTCGCGCTGAAGGGTCAGCCAAGGATACCGGAGGAAGCGGCGGAGGGCTCACAAACCCCACGGACGGGCAGCCTGGGAGGGATGTGCGGGCGTTGCCTGCCCGAACAGTCCCCCCTCCGCAACCTCCTGGCCTGAGGGTGTCGCTGTCCTGACTGCCGAAGAAGGATGAGGGGTCGAGGCCACCTGCCCCAGACCCCCACCCAACACCACTGTAGGAGCGGTCGTTGTTGCCGCCATCGTAGGAGAGGGAGCCGAGTCCACCTGACCCAGACGGCCTCCCCCACGTCCGGTCATCGTTGGCGTCACCGGCGCCATCGGCGCCAGGATAGGAGGAGGAGAGATCGCGACCACCTGCCTCGGACTCCCCCCCCATGCACAACCTCCGAAACAGAAGACGTCGCCCGACCCGAGACCACTGGGGATGTGGGGAAGAACGAAACCACCTGAGACTCCAACTCCCCACCCTCTACCAAGGCCGTCGCCGAGTGCGTCACTATCGAGCCTCCCTCCATAGGACTATCAACAGTATCAAGCTCCAACACCGGAAGCGTGCACTCAAAAACATCATCAGATTCCACCCAGTCGCTCCAAAGTCTGGGAGGGGCAGACGCTGGCTCAAAGGACCCAAACCGCAAAGTAGTCATAGGCACCGACGGAGCTGGGGCCGGCTCAACCCCCGGCCCATCCCCAGGCAACTGAGCAACAGGTCCCGATCCATTGGACCTCTCTCGTCCAGCTCCATCAGTCGGATCCCCACTGGCACCTGCGTTGTCGTCACCCTCGTGCATATCCACATCAGTCCCATTAACCGCGTTGGCAAACAACTCAGTATCCTTAAACTCAATCTCAAGAGGAAACACATCTCCCCTATAAGTCCAGTTGACCACGTCTGGGACGAACTCAATGTCCAGAACACTCACTAAGAGTCGGGCCCCTCCATGGGCGTGGGTGAATGCCATATCCACTTTCTCAGTCTTTCCAACCATTATACCCAGACTAGCCACAACTCGAACATCTGTCAAAGACTCAGAGGTAGCACCGGAAAACCGCAGCCACACCTGAGTGAGCGGCTTTCCCTTAGGCTCCATCTTCTTCCACTCATGAAATTCTAGAATGCATTTAGTACCAGGGACCTTGCACAACCCAAAGCTCAGCAACCTCTGCAAATCGTCCACAGTTGGGAAGTCAACCCTGAACACATTATCCTCAACATGGACAAGCTCCCACTGAAAATCTCCTGGGGCCAGTTCCTGGAGTCTCTGCACAATCTGAGCCTCAGAAACTACCCCCTGGGTAGCTTTGACAATCCCAGTAGTCAAGCTCTGCGTCTCTACCGGAATCTCTCTCGCAGCCGGGGACTCAAAGAACATGAGCTCAGCACAATATACTCCATATATTGTAAGAGCTGGCACCTGATCACGCAGAAGCGGGCAGTCCCCCGTGGCATGTGCTGGCTTACCACAGGAATCGCACAGCTCCGCCACACATTCAGCAATGAAGTGACCCTTCTCACCACATCGGTAGCATAGCATTTTTTCTTTCTTACGCGCCTACTTGGACGCTCTCTCAGACTCCGACCTGTCACCTGCCTCTGCTGAAATACCAGTAGTAGGAACCTCCACGTTGGCCAGAGCCATCACTACCTCCATCGCTTGGCTAGGCAGTTCGGTCGACTGAACGGGATCGACCGCCACATCGGTAGCCTGATGGTCAACAACGACCGGTGACAGAGGTTGTCTGCGGTACCGACCACGACCACCACCACGACCACCACGATGACCACGGTAGCCACCTCTCTGCATGTAGTCCGGGCCAGAAGCTCCCTCGACAAAACCACCCGGAGGTCCGAGAAAAGGTCTCTCCGCAGAACCATCACTCTGCCATGCATAACCACATCCACCTCCCGTAGATGACGATCCACGGTGCTGGCCATCCCCATAAGCATCATATCCATCGTCCCCCCACTGTCCAGGGGGCGGTTCAACTGACTCGCCAGCAACCGCGTTCTGCCTCGTCTGCGATGGGCCCGACCTTTTTTGCGTCGGCCTCGTAACGTAGTGCGGCGGTGGCGCGGCGCGAGGCATCGGCGGAGCAGCACCACGCCCCACCGCCGCTGGAGTCGGAGGCCTCGGGGGAGCAGCACCACGCCCCACCGTCGCTGGAGCCTGAGGCCTCGGGGGAGCAGCACCACCCCCCACCGCCGCTGGAGCCGCAGGCCTCGGGGGAGCAGCATCGCGCCCCCTAGAAGCATTGGCCGGCGCGGGAGGCCGAAGTCCACCACGCCCTACCGCCGGCGACACCCCTGAAGGCACCGGCGGCCTTGTCACCGTAGGCAGGGTACCACGAGGCGGACCGCCCCGACCCGCAACTGGCACCGTCGGCCGGGTCCCAGGGTTGCCACCTCCGCGGCCCCCAGGCGCAGTCCCGACGGCCAGCGAGCGATCCGCGGCGCCCCTTGCAGTACCAGCCGGCGGCGGCGCCACCCCGCCGCGGCCAACAGCGGACACAGCCGGAGGAGTATTCTTCCCTGGAGGCCCCCCCGAGCCACTGCCAGCCATTGCAAGAGGAGGCAGGATTCGTTTTGCTCGTCCCGATCCGCAAGAAGGAAAGCCAGACCTCCCGCGTCGACGAACCCTAGCAATCAGCGATGAAACAGACGTACAGCGATCAACCAAATCGGTACCTGTGTCGGCGCGCGCAGAAACAGTGGCCTGGGCCCCATACCCATCGATCTCCGTTCGTGCATGCACCATCACACAATCCACCGGGCTCTCATGCAAAGGGCCCGTGGCCCAAGCACTCACATCCAAACCCTGGGCCATGCACTGGGCCTCATACCCAGTGCGCCTCGGGCCCCGGACGGACAAGGCTGTCTCCGGCCCACTAGGGCCTAGCAGCAGGTTCAAACGGGCACAACGCGCCGCACGGATCTCGCCTGGTCCGACGGTCGGCGGCGGCGGCTGAAACCCTGCCGGAGACACCTTCTTCTTCTTCTTTCTAGTGATCATCGTCCAACCATCCGACGAAAAAAATCCGATAATGTGAGTTGCGGCCGACTTACCTTAGGAAGGGGGCCCTTCCAAGGCTTGATCCCCACCGCCGTGGGTTTGTATAGAGCCGCCTATCGTGGATCGGCGATCTTCCTGTCCTTGCGACCCTCGCCAGGTATGATCCGCGTGAAGGAATCAGCAACTGGAGTCGTACACTTCGAAAAACGCCCGGGCGACGTCGACCCCGTGGCACCAGGTGATCTTCGGACTTCAGCGTCATCTTCTTCATCTTCATCGTCGGCCAAGACCCAAAACCTTCCTCCGATCTTCGGCTTCGGTATTGGGCTTCCAGGTTCTGAAGATAGATCCACGACCTCTACTTGATCCGCCTCGTCTAATGGAACCTGCATGCAATCCAAAACAAGGATCTCGAAATCATCAATGATTAAATGTGTACCTGCGTGAATCCGCTCGTCCTCGTCCAAGTACCGTCCGGCCAGAATATCGTGGTCCTGATCTCGCACCGTCGTCCATCTCGACAGCGAGTGTTCATACAGAATTCCATTCCTCCATTCCTCGGCATCCCGGCCGTCCTCGAAGCGAATTCGCCATCTCACCTGATCTAAATGCCCCACGGTCCGATTCTGATTCACCTCTGAATCGGAATCAGATCCGCGAGAAACACGAGGTGACGGCGCCTGATCCACCGCCGTGGCCGTTGGCACCGTCAAGGGCGGCGGCTCCGGTGGAGGAGGCAAGATCGCCGCCCCCACTCCGTCACGCATGCATGTGTGGTGTTCGATCCTGTCGTCGTTGATCCCGTGGGTCATCCCCTCAATGGGGCTATGATTCACTTACACCTCCCTGCACACGGCCGTCTTTAGAAGCCATCATGTGCAGTGCTTCTGCCGCCAGGCCAGCCGCGGTCAGAGTCTCGGCGTCAAGCAAGACATCGTATCATCACGGCTCTGCGCGCCACCACACCACATTGCAATAAACAAAATAAATCACGGCCCGCAGGTCGCCGGCGCAAGAACAAAGAAGAAGAAACTGGCACGTTCGGTCGGTTCCGTAGAAAGGAATCCCGAGCGGGCGGCAAGGTGGTTAGCGTCTTTCTTTAGTTCCACTCGTCTCTCTCTCTCTCTCTTTTCTTTTCTCCACCAACACCGCTAGATTATTGGAGCCATGTTGTCACGGGAGTAATTCAAACACGCCTTTTAGCAAAAGGGACCCTTTTGCGGAAAATTGGGTTACAAGCTAACACCAGCATTAATAATGCCACGAAATGGCTGTGCAACAACAGTGCACGCAGTACTGCTCCCAAACTAATCACTGAAACCGACTCGCGCGTACGGCAGCTGCTGCTAATTCCGAGTTGGACTGTAACAGCAGCATCTTTCTTTCTCATTGCTTTAGTTTCACGAGACACAAATCCAAGGGGAGAAAAGAAGCTAAGACAGGACGGCGACCTGCTAGAGAAATTAGTGTATCAAGAGCCATGACAGTCTTCTCTAGGAATACACAACACACAATCTTCCAAGTAATAGCAACTTACCGAGAACAAGAGTAAGAATCTTATTCCTTATCCTTACAAAAAAAAAAAGAGAGAGCAGAATCCCATGGTAAATTACAGAGTGTTCACATTTCTATACCTCTTATTTCGGCCATGTATATAGAAGAACCATAAACAGACGGTGAAAAGAAAAGAAACAGTGTTAAAGGAGTAACAAAGACTAGAGAAAATTGACAAAGTACAGTCTCTAATCTTCCCAGTTGGTTGGTCTTGCCCGTGTCCGTGTGTAAATAAGAACAATATATACGACGATGGCTAGATCAGAACGGCCTCAGAAGTACTCGAGGTTGAAGTCAAAATGCGCCATGCTGTGCTCTTGCTGGCCGTGGCAGGGCAGCGCGAACTTGCCGTCCTCGTCGCCGGCGTAGGCGGCGAAAGGCTCCACCTTGCTCTCGGAGGCCCAATGCAGCGCCTCGCCCTCCAGCGCATTGCTCGCCTCCGGCGCGCTGTTCCAGTTGCTGCTGTTGCTGGAGCTCTCGCCGTAGCCCAGGTTCTCCGACACGTCCAGCACGCTGCTGTAGTCCACGAACCCGGCCGCGTCCTTGCCGCCGAGGTGGTCGTACAGCGGCATGCCCGCCCCGTCGAAGCCGGCGCCGAAGGTGTCGGCCACCGGGAAAGGGTCGAACACCTGCTGCTGCTGCTGCTTCAGGGCTATACCGTCGGCTCCCTGCGGCCTCTCGTCTTTCGACGCCTGGTCCGGTTCCACCCCCGCCACGCCGGAGATGGGCTTGTGGGTGCTGGGGTCGATGCCGCGCTGCCGCAGCTTCTTCTTGAGGCAGCTGTTCCAAAAGTTCTTGATCTCGTTGTCCGTCCGGCCCGGCAAGTGAGACGCTATCTGCGACCACCTGCATTGATTCCGCTCCGTTCATCAGCAAATCGCAAGATTTCACGCTGCTAAAATTTCAAAAAAGAAATGGAAGGCGTAATGTATGTACCTGTTCCCCAGGATCTCATGCAGGCCGACGATGGCGTCCTCCTCCTGCTGCGAGAAGCTTCCCCGCTTCAGGTCGGGGCGCAGGTAGTTGATCCACCGCAGCCGGCAGCTCTTGCCGCACCTCTGCAGACCTGGATCATTGAGCACACTCCTCATTAAGCGCCAACACATGCAAGAAAACAGACGGGCGGAGTTGGAATTATAAGTAGCTTTGCGGGGAGGGAGCGTACCGGCGAGCTTGGGCACGGAGCTCCAGCACCCGACGCCGTAGCGGATGATGTGGTTGTAGAGCTTCTCGTCCTCCTCGGGAGACCACAGCCCCTTGCGCAGCTTCTGCTGGACGCCGCCGCCGCCGCCGGTGCCCGCGTGCCGTCCCATTCTCCCGCCCGCCCGGCACGCGCGCGCGGCCGGCTCAAGGGACGAGCGAACAAACGACCGAGCAACCGGCGAGCTACCTCGTCAGTGTGATGGTTGGTTCGTTGCCTTGCCTGTGTATCTCTATCTATCTATCTCGGTCGGGAAGGCTGGCCGGGGTATATATGGGGAAGCGTGCGTGCCAAGAGCCGCGCACGTACGTACGGGGGCCGGGGAGGGGAAGACGACGCAGCAATCAAGCAGTAGGTCTCAAGCAACCTACTCCAGCTGAGGAGTATGTGTGTAAGTGTGTGTGCGCTTTGAGGTGCTCGCGCCTGCAATGGATTGGAGCTGAAGATACACCCCGTTTACTTGTGCTCCGTCGGCTTAGGATTTCCGTAACCAAAATAAAGTGCTCCTATAGTTGGGTGCGTGCGGGCGCAAGGAAGAGGAGCAGCTTCTACTGTTCTACTAGTAACAGCAAAGGAGGCAGAGACACGGCCGGGGAGAGGAATCGACGCTGCAGGATGGAAAATGACGGGCCAAAAGCTGGGTTAGTTGGAGGTATGACTTGAGAGATTTTTCTCATTAGCGCACGATTATGGTACAGTGTTAATCACCTAGCTAGGGGACTGTTGCGACAATGCAAGCTAGTAGAAAAACGCAACACCTGTGCTCTCTGCTATTCATGACAAGGGGGCTAGATGTATAATTGTGCTTAGATCATTCTCTAATCGCACCAACCGTGCGTGACATACATCAACGCCTTTTGCCGACTTCCGCGTTCCATCTATCCATCTTGATTTGCAAATGGATGATCCCATCGTGCCTCCCTACGTCGCCAACTGTGACAAGCTGACGATAAGCTTAGCTAGGGTCGAAAAGGTGGCGGCACATCGTCGCAGGGATTTTTCTTTTTTAGCAGAGGTTGTATTCGCCCGTGTGATTCATCATGCAATTGGAAAACAAATTGAATCAGTCAATTTTGGAGGGAAAGAGTAGCGCAACCACAAACACAAGCCGGCACCAACGAGGGCCTCATTGGGGGTGGGGACAACGTGGCTTGTTATCATGTCACCACCGAAGAGGAGGAACAAGCTTTACTGGTTCGGGTGGGAGGCGGAGCAACCGGAAAGAGGTAGGGCTGGTGGAGGAACATGAACTAGCGCCATTGGATTTCAATCCAACTCAAAGAATCAACCGGAAGTAAAAGTGTTTCAAGCACCTGACACACATAGGTGTTTTTGATATTTCTTGGATGATATTAACCGGCTCACTGTCTCTAAAACTCATTTGTGGTTATGGAACAAATGTTGGTGGCCACATCTTCAACTGCAGAGGACCCTTGTTGGCCTATGCCAACAAGGTGCTACAGGAAGGAGCCTCCTTTCGAGAAATAAAACAGTGACAATGGTGTCAAGGATCAATGGAGCAAACAACGAAATTGATATGCATCAGTTTCCCTCTAACGAGAAGGAGGAGGCGGGCCAGGCAGCGGCATGCATATGCATGATTTTTCTAGCCTACATCATAAAGAAATTTAACCATTGTTTTAAGACCGACTATCACTCATAATGTATGATATCCTTCTTATGTGGGCCATGAGAAGATGACTTCAAAGTCTTATAGATATCCCAAATATGTGCAAGAGCTCCCTACTCATTAAGGTTATGACCTTATAGTATTTTGGAGTTTGCACTCAAGAGAAGAGAATGTTTAGCCTCCATCCAAGAACTAGCAAGAGGCGTGACAAAAATTTTAGGTTAGCCTCCACTAAAAAAGAAAATAAAACAAAAGAGGGGATGATTGAAAGAAAAAAATCCGCCATCAAGAAAAGTGAGTTTCTTCCAAGATTGTGAAGTTCAGATCCATCATCTTGTATCCTTCAAGTTGTGGTTATACAATAATTAGTGAGTTCCAATCTCTAAATCTTGCAGCCTCAAATCTCACTATTATCCAATGTGAAATTTTGATACGTAAGAGCCTCTAATGCTACCTAAAGAAGACTTGATGTATCCCATATTTTGATAATTGTGGAAGAATGTTTAGGTGTGGCACCGGCTCATGCTTTTACCCACGTTGAGGGTTTTCCACGCTAAAATATGGTGTTTTATGTGTGTCGATGTTGTTGCTGCACTTTGGAGGATAGTGGCTAAAAGCGCCTAGTATGTATCCTAGTTTGTGAGTTGAAGACACCTAGTATCCATCTAGCTGCCTGTTGAAAGCACTTTTTTGCTAAGTTCTACCACTGAGGCAAAACCATCCCATACTCCATATATGTTGATGCATATTTTTTTCTTCTGTTTTGAGCAATGATCGTTAAGGTAGTGCATAAGTATATGCTAATTTCAAACATGTACCAATACAACTATCGATGACCAACTCTGATGCGCAAGCCAGAGCAGTTTTGTACAACCGTTGGACCCGAGATAGCTAGTCAAAAACATTGGTTGTGCATACACCGGTGGTTTTGTGTGTCTCCAAACACAATGAACTGGTATCATAAGTTCAATTGTTTCTTACCATTGTAGTAGACTTTATTGCTTATAGATTAAATATGTCTTCTTTGGATAATGAGGTGAGCTAGGATTAAAGACCTAAAACCAAAATCAAGAACCTAATGAGTATGTCTGCGGAAAAGCTCTCCTACTTGGGTGAGAGAGGGGGCGTACGACCGGAATACTCAAAGGTGGCATTCGATTATAGTGTTTCTATTTCTCAAAACACTTATGTTGATAATGTTGGCCCCATATCCATGTTTGATAGGTCTCAGTGTGCGTATTGGAAAACTAGAACGAGAATTCATCTATATGGAGAAAATTTTGGTCTTTGGGAGGTTACTTTGTAAAGTTTCTCTGTGGTCGATCCAAAGGATCTCACTCCTTCTCTCAAAGACAAATTTAAACAATTTAAATTCCTAGCTTCGTCCATGATTCTCAAGGACGCGGCTCAAACTATGTTCAACTTCATTAGCCTTCATGGTATCACCTGGAGAGCTTGGGATGCCCTAGAACGATTTTTCTTTGGTGTCGGTGCATGGCCACCTCTCTCCACAATCATCACATCCCCACATTGTTGGCGAGCTCTATCTAACAACGCTAACTATGTTCTTGAAAGAAAAAAAAACGCTAACTAGTCCGCTCAGGTATCCCCCTTGCCCTCAACTCCACTGTCAACGCTCATGCAATTGGCGGCTCCATCTTGGAGCATCGACGAGCTCACTGTCACCGAAGATATCACGTAGTAGAAGAAGAAGATGGGCAAAAGGACGAGCACAAAACAAGAAGCAAATCTGTTGGCTACAGATCTCTGTGATTTGTAGGAACAAATCACCTTTTTTTGCTAAATACTACCTTCTCCCAAAAATATAAGGTGCACATGATTTTATTTTTGGTCTTTATCGCATAATTTTGACTATGATTTTCACCTATTGTATGCATACAAAATTGGTATAAAGACATATGAAATACAAACTTTTTGTACGACAAACATGACAATATCATTTATACATGTTCAATCCATGTACATTAATATATACTAGAAAATTGGCCTTGCATTGCAACGGAAGAAAAATCGCAGCTCCCATGGAGTTAGGTGTGCATGAGTTTTTCTTCATGACTATACCAAATTTGACACTGTAGATATACGGCTTACCTGAGATTTGTGTTGACTCTGGCTCCGCTACTACATGCTCCTACCGCAATAAGCACGACTCAAGATCCATCCACAGGTCCACACTATGTATTTCAGCATAGCGCCTCACTTGTGTTGTCGCATATCCTCCTTCCCGCACTAATCAACCATGATCGCGTGTGGTCAATCCCAAGGTGATGATCTCGGCCGCCGCATGACACACTTGTCAATGGACCACGTCATCGCAAGCGGATGCTTAATACTTTTGACACTAATCTCATCGAGCTGGACGTGATGGCCGCCCTTTCGGAGTTACAACCTACACCTGGTCTATACACCACCCCTCATACCACCACTCACTTTAAGTTGTACATTTATTTTCCAAATACATCAACATTCTTTTCAAAACACATAAACACTTTTTAAATCACATGGGATTTTAGAGCATAAATACTTTTTAAATTATGTTAAGCATGTGACAACTATTTAGAATTACATGAACATTTTTTAAAAGAAGGGTGGATATTTGACATTATATGGACATTATTTAAACAGGTGAACACATTTCTTAAAACTACACAAACATTTTAAGATGCATCTTTTTGTTAAATTACATACTTTTTTTCAATCATGGGTGACATGGGAGGGGGGGGGGTAAATCTTGCCAACTTCAAGAGTAGACGGACGGGCATAAACTTACCTTCATTTTAGGGCATCTCCAACAGTTGTAAGATAGGTGTTGGTAAATTTGCCACCTAGGACATAGTGATGATGTGGCATGTATTAAATGTGGAGAGAGAGCAAAGTCGTATGTAGATTAACCAACAACCTTTGCACAAGCTCCAAGGTTTATTTTCTCACCATCTATTGAATAGCTTACATACAACCCATTGGAGTGGTTGTATGATAACTTGTTGGTTGATGTGTTGGAAATATGCCCTAGAGGCAATAATAAATTAGTTATTATTATATTTCCTTTTTCATGATAATCGTTTATTATCCATGCTAGAATTGTATTGATAGGAAACTCAGATACATGTGTGGATACATAGACAACACCATGTCCCTAGTAAGCCTCTAGTTGACTAGCTCGTTGATCAATAGATGGTCACGGTTTCCTGACCATGGACATTGGATGTCGTTGATAACGGGATCACATCATTAGGAGAATGATGTGATGGACAAGACCCAATCCTAAGCCTAGCACAAGATCATGTAGTTCGTATGCTAAACCTTTTCTAATGTCAAGTATCATTTCCTTAGACCATGAGATTGTGCAACTCCCGGATACCGTAGGAGTGCTTTGGGTGTGCCAAACGTCACAACGTAACTGGGTGACTATAAAGGTGCACTACGGGTATCTCCGAAAGTGTCTGTTGGGTTGGCACGAA